AGCCGGTCCCCCAGGGGGAAGGGCTCGGGGCGACGGCGGGCGGCCGGGGAGAGGCTACGTGCTTCTGGGCTGGGGCTGCGAGCGGGGTGATTTTGTATTAAAATGAGGAGGAGGAAGAAGAGGCAGCCACAGCGGCGGCGGCAGGCGCAGCAGCAGGAGCAGCGGCGTGGGAGGGCTGCAGCCCGGGCGGACGCGCGGAGCCGAGCTGGGCACGGCGGCGGCGGCGACAGCGGCCGGGATGAGTCAACTAATAATTTAATGGGGGCAGAGACGGCAGCGAGGGGGAGAGCGAGCGCGAGCGAGGGGGGGGCAGAGAGAGAGAGAGAGGAGAGGGAGAAACAGCCCCGTCCGGGGACTGGCGCTCACACGCACACAGACGCGCACACACCTCTCCCTGTGCCACCCAGCAACCACCGGCCTCGCCACAACAACAGCAGCCACGGCCGCCCTCTAGCCGCCCGGGGACCGAGCCGAGAGCCGGGGCGACTCCCGAGGACGCTTCCCACCCCGCTCTCGCATTTTGGGAAACTCCTCCTCAGTTTTGTTGGGGTTCCTGCGTTTCTTCCCCCCGTCCCCCCCCCCCCCAAGGCCCAGGGCCATTGTGGTGCTCCTTGTTTGCCTCGGATTCTGGCCGAGTGAGACCGTGGCGACTTTTTTGGGGGGGAGGTGGGGGCGGGGGGGGTGTAGCTCTGAGGCGGGGAGGTGGCTCTTGGTGTCTTCTAATTCCTTCCCCTCTCTCCTCCTCCCCCACTAATCCTCTCTCTCTCTCTCTTCTCTGAACTCACTCGGCTCCCCAGACGCTCGCAGCCCGCGTCCCATGGGCAGGGAGAGGTCCTCGGGGCTGTCGTCAGCGAGGGCCGAATCAAAAGTGGCGTTTAGTGCTTTTCGGGCTTTTTTTCGCGAGCTCCCTGCCCCCCACCTTGCTTTCCCCCGGTAGATGCCCCCGGTGAGGGTGCGAGGCGGTGGGAAGAAAGTTTAAGGTTTGTTCCTATCAGTCGCAATTGCTGGGGAGGGCGGCGGGGGCGAGGGGAGGGGAGGCGCGGTGGCCTCCCCCTCGCCGCGTTCTCCGGGGTCAGCGGGGAGCGGGCTTGCGAGTGACAGCCCGAGTGGACTTTGTGGCCTCGCACCGCGAACCCTGCGCGAGCCCAGGGAGGGGGCACCGCGAGGGCACCTCCTTCCCCTTCCCGGAGACCTGGTCCGCAGTGAATTTTTCCTCCTCTTTTTAAAAGAATCCTCAGCCGCCAACCTCGCCTCCCCAGCTCCACCACAGTGCGCAGGGTTTGCTTTGTTTTTACGATTCTTCCCCCCAACGAATCACTTGTCAGATCAATTTTATCTTCGCCCTCCTCCCTACTTCCCACTCTCCCCTCCTCCCCCTTCGAAAACCCCGTTCTCTGAGGTTAGACATTTTACAAACCATATACGTTGTTTTTCGAATTGTGATTTTTTTTTTTTAACACTCTCCCCCTCCACCCCCCCCATGGCTACTCTTCTAGGCCTTTATTTCTGCCCTTCCCCCGCTTAGGGGGGCGGGGGTAGGGGAAGAGAAAATAATACAATTTCAGGGGAAGTCGCCTTCAGGTCTGCTGCTTTTTTTTTTTTTAATTACAAAAAAAAAAAAAAAAAAAGGACAGAAAACATCAGTCTTGAACTTCTCTTCAAGAACCCGGGCTGCAAAGGAAATCTCCTTTGTTTTTGTTATTTATATGCTGTCAAGTTTTGAAGTGGTGAGTTTCAGGTCGGTTTTGCTAATTTCACTCAGTAAAACTGCAGTGTTTCTGTTTCTAGATAGTACTTTGCTTCTTTGTCTCTTTAAAAGGTCACAGTGAAAGCTTGGCCTGGATCGTGCCGGCCATGTGGAATGGATAAGGGCATAATCTCTTAAAATGTGATTATGGGGTTCGGTGGGGGTGAGGGAGGCCATTTAGCAAGGAACTCCCTGGAAGGATCCCACATTGCAAAAACAAGAAACCAAAAAAACCCAAAAAGGTTCTTGAAACCGGAATGTCGTGCTTTTCTTTTTTCGTGTAAAGGGAAATAATTGCTGGGTCTCACTTCACTGTGTTAGTCAGTAGCGATCACATATGGACTTAGTTGATGGACTGGGAAATGGGATTTTGAGAAAATAGCCTGCTTTCTGTGTGCCAACCAAACGTTACACGAAAATGGACTTTAAAATGTGTAACTCACAAGAAACTCTTGAGCCTGGCATCTGTTGAGACCCGAGTTAGTTCCTGGGCTGCCAGTCCAGCAGGCCCAGTGGAGGCTGCTCTGTGCAATCCCAAACGGAGGTTTGGTGAACTTTAGCCTTGGGCATAGAGTTTAAATGAGTAAATTGGGTGTTTTATGTGCATGTAATTTTGCTTTATAATGTAAAGCTTTTTACAAGATGACTGAGTGTTTAATTGACGCTTATGGGTGGGTGTTGGGAGGACAATTGTGCATGACCTATATGATGTTTTGATTATCAATACATTAACTAAATTAGCATCTATCAGTTTCACTTGCTGTATACTTTATAATGCTGCTAAGCCTCAAGACTGCTGAATATGTTTTTTTAGCATTCATTTTGATGCTGATGTTTCCTTTTTTCTTAAAATTGCCCCACGGGTGAAGTATTTTCAAATCATATGTTTTAAAATTCATTTTCTGCTCTAGGGTAAGGCAACCACTTTCAAAAAAAAAAAAAAGCAGCTCTGTATTATAATCCACATGTAACATTACAAAGAGTGTTTTGAATAAGTTAATAATCATTGCTCTCTAATTTTGGCTTTAGTTTAATATAATGGAGAAGAGTAATCTTGATAAAAAGTGGTTAAAAGAGGCACATTTATTGTTAATGAACCTCATAACCAAAAACAGATGGGACCTCGATCAATGGTAAACCTTTAGTTCTCAGCGTGCCACCCTGGAGTACAAGGATAAATAGCCATTATTTCTCAAACTTTAGAGTTCTTCAATTGGCATTCTTAAGGTTGCTTTTAAACCTACAGATTACCATTGCTCCCTCCTCCCCATTCACCTCTTTTCTTGATTAAATTGGACAGAGTAATCTATGGTTAAACAGAAGAAAAACATGCTTCTAGAAAAGCCATGCTAATATAAGCTGGCTTTCAATTAATCGGATCTAAATAGCTTTTCCGGTGTAATAATTTTTTAAAAGTACAAGAGATGTTAAATTACTAGACAGCTGGAGGAAAGTAATAATTATCATATTCTGATTTTTGAAATATGATCCCTTCCCCCCTTAGTATTGGTAAGCTCAGTATTTCAAGTACTATGAAAGTTCATAATTCCACTCACCTGTTCTTATCAATTCTAGTTACAACTATTTTAGAAGTGACTTGGGTATTGTACTCATTGTTTTATCATAAACCGTATGAAAATTAATGTCCATTGTGTAATTGAAAATAATTATCTATAAATTTTTTTGAAGTCAACCAAGATGTTAACTTCATTGCATACTGAGATTATTTTTGAAAACTGGCAATTGTGTTTTACCTAAATCAAGATTTATTTTTTTTAAAAGCCAGTTTGGCACTTGGATCTAATGCTAATATCACAAAGTATTTTCACGTTTTTTGCTACTTAAGTTAAGAGCATTCTGTTACTAAAGTACTCCTAAATGTTAACTCTAAACATGTGAGTCGTAATGCTTCAGTACTTGGAATATTTGAAGAAGTCCTCCACCTAACATCCATTTGCTTAGGGGTGAGATGATCCAATCACACATTTGAGCCAAGACTTAACTAGATATTTAACAGGTCACTCTTGAAACTTTTATAGTAGAAAACTTTTTCTACAAATTTACCTGCAAAGCCATTGGGGAGTATAAAAATTAGGTGTTTGCTACCTTCTTTTGAGGTGGTATGTATATACATGTATAGTTTTTTTTCTCAAAAATTAAGCTATATGTAAAAATATATATACAACAGATTTAACTAATATTTTGGACTGTAATCATTTTTCCATTCTTGATTAAAGTGTTACTGTTTTGTTTTGTAAAGAGTTTCTAATTTTTAAAAATTGGGACTGTATAAATATAATTTATTTTCTTTCTGGCTCTATTGTGGTGATTCTTGTTTTAGAAGTAAAGCCCATTTCCCCCCACTTACTTTTGGTGGTAGGTCACAAATTACCTTTTATTCACGTGTGTTAATACAGTTTTCACAAATTATTCTGTTAACTTGAATGGACATATGCTGTCATCTAGAAATATAGTAACATATACATTATGTTATATATCTAGCTGAGTAATCTTACAAATTATATTTGTGAAGAGAGATATCTAGGGGTAAAACATTTACATGATGTATGTATGTAAATACAGAGAGAGAGAGAAAGAGAGAGAGAGAGGGAGAGAGAGAGAGAGAGAGGAACACCCCCCTCTAACCGCATCTTCTTTTTAAATTCTGGCAGGTGATCCTGAGAGAGTAACTGAGTATGGATCATTTGAACGAGGCAACTCAGGGGAAAGAACATTCAGAAATGTCTAACAATGTGAGCGATACGAAGGGTCCACCAGCCAAGATTGCCCGCCTGGAGCAGAACGGGAGCCCACTGGGAAGAGGAAGGCTTGGGAGTACAGGTGGAAAAATGCAGGGAGTGCCTTTAAAACACTCGGGCCATCTGATGAAAACCAACCTTAGGAAAGGTAAATACTTTCAAGCCAAATCCTGGAAAGCTGTGAGCCCTGTGCCTACCCAAGGCTGCTCTGTGTGGGTGTGGAGAGGCAGAGCACTCTTTGTAGGTTCTTTGCCTTGATTCTCTTTCTGCTCTGAAATTAGTTACATCCCTGGCTGCAGTGTCAGTCACGTTTTGAAAGTGGAGGCTCTGTGTTTGAGTGGAGCATCGTACTCTGCTACTACAGACAGGAATTGTTGGACATTTAGGTTGATAAGGACTGAATTCAATATAATGGTCTTTAGCTACCCAAGGCTTCCATGGATAAGGTGTAAGGGAAGTAGAGGATATATACATGGCTATTGCTTGTTCTTGCCCTGCTTAAGAATAAGACACTGGCTTTTCCATAAGATTCGCTAGTTGTAAAAGACAGGTTCAGAGGTAATGGAAATCTTGTGTGCTATGATGTAAAAGTTTTGTGATGTCATTTTTGTGGCTTGTTTTCTTAAGAGCAAATGCATTATTTAGCAATGAAAAAACCTGATCATTCTAGTTTTTATGTTTGCTATAACTGGGTATTTTTGATAAAAGGAAGTGCAGATTTAGGCATGTTTACAAGGGGAGGATGTGTAACTGACTCCTTTCTACCCATTTCATGTTAAGTTGATGAAGTTGGACAACTTTGTGTTCAACACTTGTTTATGTAAAGCAGTGCCTGTCCTGGTTACAATGTGTGTGCCTCATAATGGTCTTTATTTTGTCTCTGAATAAATGTGTATAGGATTCAGATTTCCCTTACATTTGCTAAGCAAAGGATAAAAATGCCATCTTTTAGCAACCGAGAATATTAAGTAGATAAAGTTAGAAGGCAGAGGAATTTCATTGTGTTTGATGCATAACATTTATCATACAATCATTTATTTTTTCCTTGGTTTGGCGAAAACAAAGAATATATTGATCCTGAAATGAACAGACACAGCAGACCGTATTGTTAGATCTTTATCTATTAAAAATGGAAAAACAGCACTTCAGCAAATTCTTTGGCCTCTACTCATGATTACCCTATTTATTGATTGTTTGCCAAGAATGTATGCATCTTAAGAAAGCCAGGGTAAGAGCATTAAAAATATAATTTATTACGGCTTTTCAAACAGAGTGCATTAATATTGTACTGTGAAGCACTGGGGCTCTATAAAAAAGACTTTCTGACGCCTGCAAACATATAAGTTCCATAAATTCCTAAATAGGAGATTTCAGCTGTCTCTGGTATTATGTGATATTTGCACAGCAAACTTTTAATGCCAGGACAGTTTTAGACAAGGATTCTACAGACTTCACTGCTCCTTATGGCAGACGTGCTGTTTACACAGGCTCATAAACCTTCAGCAAAAGCTTCTAAGACTGCCTCCAGGTTTAAATCATGCGGTATTTTTAGCAGTCGGCAGTGGCCAGTGCACTCCCCCTTTAATGCTGGAAGGTTATGAAGTTGCTGTAGTTGGAAGTCTCGCCAAACACTCTCACAAATAATCAGACAGTTCAGAGAAGGCTCCTGTTCAGCGTTACTCCCAATAGCAGGAGGGCAACCGTGACAGTTTGCTGGAAGATTTAGCGGCTAGGTTTGTAATTAAATGATACTGTTGTCACTTTATCAGTAGCCACCTTTCATTACCTACGGGGTCCCGATAAATAAAGCCGAAGATATATATCCAATATATTTCAGTCGTTTGAAAAACCCACAGTGATGTCATAGGTCTAAGGAGAACAGCATGTAGTAGGACAAGTCAGTCTCCTCCTTGGAGAGGAAAAATCAATGCATATGTTTTTGTTGTACTAACCCAACTCTTTGAAGACATCAGGACAGGGGGAGGAGAAACCAAACTACAGTAATTTCACTTCCTGCTCAAAAGATTTTTTTTTCCTTACAGTATTGCCTTGATAGTGATTTATTTTGTTTAATTGAAGAAGGTTCCTTGCTTATTTCAAACAACAAAAATCACTGAAGCCTTTTAGTGGTGGTGGTGGTGTGTGTTTTTGTGTGTGTGTGTTTAATTTTATTTTTTGTGTCTGGTTTCTGTTTGACAGGTGCTAGATAAAAATTGTGGCTGAGATGTGGCTTAAGAAAAAGGGGTTGGATGTTTTTGTTTATTTGTTGAGGAGATTTTGCCAAAGTACCTCCAAGCCAAGAAAGAAATCACCAGTTTGTATATTGCTGTTTTTGCTGTGGTCTCCCCAAATCTTCTGATCCCTGGCGGATTCTCTCTCTGGTATAAAACAGCCGAATGAATGACAAGAATATTGGCAAGCTTCACGGCTTGCTTTTTTATGCCTCGCCTGTTGGATATCTCCGAATGAGTTTGTGAGCTTTTCTAAGTCAACCTAAAGGTTTTGGTGTTTTTTTTTTCTTTTTTCTTTTTCAGAGCTAGAATCTCTTGTGAACAGTTCACTGAGGCTTTGGTGAAGAGGCATGTGTAGAAAAATGTAGCTGTTTTACTGCCAGCTTTTGTTTGCAGAATAGAGCACTTTTAAAGGGCATCTCCGGTGTCAGTAGAAAATCCCGATTTTTTAGTTCTGGTTGGCATGCGCTGGACATCTTCAGAAGTTGGTAGGATTCTGCGAGTCCAGAGGGCAGAGCTTAAAGAGGCATTAATGTTACGGGACTAATTGAGGATCCTGGGTGCCCTGTTAAAGTAACCCTTGCCATCATTTATGGTAAAGATGATACCCTCCTGGCAGTTTGCCACAGTGCAGTTCAGATGCATCTGCTTTTAACCCTTTTCTGCTTATCCCTGGGAGTCTGACAGTGCGCTCGCTGCGTGAACACCTTGAGTGCTACAGCGTTCCCTGATTTCCGTTTCCAGAAGCCTTTTTTCTAACCCCGGTGTGGCCTGTGCCGATTCATCATCTGGCTACTGAGTTGTTACATTGGATTAAAGTAAATAGAGAGAACATCGAATCTACGCAGATTCCTTGATCCTAATATGTCCTGATACGAGGCCAGTTTCCTTTTCCCGCTCTCATTTTCATCCCATTTACTACAACAAGACTGTTCATTTTAAAGACATATGGTTACTGTGATATGTTTTTAGTCAGGTAGATTAAATGAGGAGCCATCAAAATAAAAATCTTATTTATCTACATTATGCGCATATTGAAATCCTATATTTTGAGCGTCAGTTTGGTTAAGTTTTGCGTTCCTTTTATGGAAGCATTATAAAGTAAAATCTCTAAAAAGGAAGTAAAAGGCTAATCATTTTATGGCCAAAGGTAATTTGTTTGGGCACAAACAAGGGATAGTTTAATATTAACAAAAGCCTGTAGGCCACGTGAAGTTGGTTCTTGTGAAGACAACTGGAGTGAGTCAGGTTTGCACACTGTCTACATTACCACTCACAACAGATCAGACAAGACACCTACTTCTCTCTCGTCAGCAGTATCATTTGATCAGAAAGGTAATTCTGCATTCACTCATCTTGATGGAAGCAGAGCCCCACTTACCCTCGGAGCAGGTTCACATTCTGTTTCCATATTTCTCTCTCAACTCTGAAACAGAGAAAAGGTTGTATATGTTGGTGTGTGCGTGCCTGTGTGTTTCTGTGCCCTGTCTGCCTGGGAAACAGTCTCTTCCCTTCTCTCACTGTTGTGAAGATTTATTTTCATGGCTTCGTGTGTTTTTTCCCTCCCCCAGACTGTATTTCTGAAGATTGTTGGTTTGCATCTCTTCCTCCCTGTCTCTTCGATAGGAACCATGCTACCGGTGTTTTGCGTGGTGGAACATTATGAAAACGCCATTGAATACGATTGCAAGGAGGAGCATGCGGAATTTGTGTTGGTGAGAAAGGACATGCTTTTCAACCAGCTGATAGAAATGGCACTGCTGTCTCTGGGTTACTCGCACAGCTCTGCTGCCCAGGCCAAAGGTAAATGACGCACGTGCAGGGCTGGGGAAATTGCTTGGCATCCTTTGTTTACCTCCCAGGGAAAGCTCTGAATATTTTTTTTTTTATTCAAAGAACTGTAGGCTGTGTATGATGACACTGGTTCCTTATAGACTGTGGCTTTAAAAAATTGGCTTAATTCAGTTTGGTTTAGTTAACACACATTTTGCTCATGTGGAATGTCGAGGTAGATTTTTTTTTTAAATTACTTCAGCTGAATCATTAGTATGCTTATTGACCTTAATAATCTGCTCCACTGAGGACCCACAAGGAAGTGAGGAGCGTATTTGAGCAGATGGACTGTTGAGAGTCAATTTGCATTTATGACTGAATATCTAGTTCTGTTTCTTTTATTCTGTTTCTGATGGTTTTATGGGCTGTAAAGTATTTTTCAATGCTGATTCCCTTTGCAATAGAGAATCTTATCTGAATCGTAAAGCCATTTAGAACTGGTTCAGCTATGTCTTATTAGAACTTCCTGTAAGTTAGGAAAATGTGGCCTGGGCATCGGTTTTATTGATGGGGTTTGATTTCCAAAATAATAAAACAACCCTACAGTCATTTACATAATTTCACAATTTGGAAAGCTGAGCTATGAATATTTTCACTGACCTGCCTTTTAGAGGGAAGGGAATCATTCAGACAGAAATAACAATATTGCTTGTGGTGGGGGCCATGAAAGAAAGAAAAAAACTACCAGATGTATTACCTGAAGGGTAAAACCTGTAGTGACATATTCTCTTTATCTGGAATAGGGCTAATCCAGGTTGGAAAGTGGAATCCAGTTCCACTGTCTTATGTGACAGATGCCCCTGATGCTACGGTAGCGGATATGCTTCAAGACGTGTATCATGTGGTCACGTTGAAAATTCAGTTACACAGGTGAGTCAGGACAGCGTTCTAGGGGAAAACATTCTAGTTACCTGATATTTTTAACTAAAGCATCTCTGGTCAACCTTTTTATTTCCTCTGTGTTTCAGACGGGTTAATTAAAATTGATTTTGTTACCTTACCCTTTCTGCTTTATTTTCCTAACTTCAGTGTAGAATTTAAAAGCAACCCCCCACCCCCACCCCCCAAATTTATAGGTTTGTGCAGGTTATCAAAATACGAGACTTTATATTGAGTCAATGAAATGATGCATTACAAGAAGGCATTTTACATAAAGTTTACTTAAGAGAAAAATATTTTTGCATATCATGAACAGTGCCATCTGTGTACATTTTGTGAAAGAATGCCTTGTTCGCTCTTGCCGCGGCCTTGCTTATTTATATAGTTTTTTACCATTTTAATTCGTATGAACGGAGTCACGAAAGGAAAATGGTTAATACATTCATGCTTCTCCCTGCTTGCTCGTGAGAAAGCAGTACACCTTAAATTGTCTTCCCGAGCGCATCAGAGCAGGAAGGTAGAAGTAACATGAAAAAATAGCCACCACAGGCAGCTGATGTATAATTCATGCATCGATACAGCAGATGTGTTGTATAAAGTAATTAACTAATCGGAACAATCAGGAGACCGAGAGCAATCTCCAGATGCATCTGTTTGATGCGCAAAATGAAATCTGTCTGTCTTAAAGGAATGTTTTGCAGCGGGATGCAATCTTGTAATAATCCCCTTTCTAATCTCTGTCTCACATAGTTGCCCCAAACTCGAAGACTTGCCTCCTGAACAATGGTCGCACACCACAGTGAGGAATGCTCTGAAGGACCTCCTGAAAGATATGAATCAGAGTTCGCTGGCCAAGGAGTGCCCCCTTTCACAGGTACTGAGCAGAGCGTGGAATAAATAATAAGACATCCCGGGCAGCCCTGATGTGAGGTTCCACGGGGCTCCGTAGTCTTAAGCAACCGGTATCGGAAGCGAGAATCTGCCAGACATGCCAAGTGGCTTGACCACTGGTGACTTTTAAAAATACGCCTCATTCATTCTGAACAGAGCCTTTACACTTTTTCTCCCTTGGGAAAAGAGCAAAGGAAAAACGGCTCAGCAGCCTCTGCTGGCTGGCTTTCCCATTCCTCTTCTGAGCATGGAAGCTCCATTCTCCCCAGTGCTCTGATGTAGGGAAGAGTAAAGGTAGTAACACTTCCAGGAGCCTGCAGTGAATGGCTTTGTAAGTGTTAACGTGGAAAACTTCATCATGCTGCCTGAATTAAATGAGTTCAGTTGTCTAATACTTAGCTCATTATAAAAATAAAAAACTACAAAGAGCATTTGTAGTAATAATTATAAAAGTAAGAATAGAAATCTCCTGTAACTAAAGGTTGAGTAGCTTTTGTTCTTTAGGAGTTTCTCACTAATTTGGGGGCATTGTTTTACCTTCCCCCCCCCCTCTGAGATGCCTGTCATACCACCAGGAATTTTTGGAATAAGACAAAGATCTATTTTTATTGTGCTTGGTTTTTTTAGAATGAATTTTGATGGAGAGTTACTAAAACTGTAGAGAGAGAGACCGCCCCTGTTTCCAAATGTAAAAACCAAACATTGTGTTGGATAGTGCTCAGCTAATTTCAGATTTGAAAAAAAAAAAGCAAAGGTGCTATGAACCTGCTTTTCATGGGCTGCCTATGCGGTCACTACATAAACGTGGTATAAAGCCATCCCCAGTGCCCAAATGCAGCGCTAGGTCATCCTGTGACATAGTATAATTAAAGTGCTGATAGAACTAGATGTTTAAGGTTTTCTTTTAGTTCAAGTTTAAAATGTAATTCTGAATGTCAGTCTGTCAGTCATGTGAACTTGAACTGTACGACTCTGCTACAAACATGTCTGCAATTGAGGGAGTCTTAAAATGTGTTTCTGATGTGATGCTCATGAAGATACAGGGCACCTTTGGAAGGAAGCTTGTGGGCTTCTGTGCTACCTTTTCATGGAACCTCCATGCATTGCAGGTTTGCTGCAATATAGCCCATCAGTATTCCTTTGGTATTTATTAGCAGTTATAGGAGCAAAGCAAATGAATTAAGTTGATAGTTAATGATGACTTGCTATGTTCTTTTAAGGTGAGCTCTAGCCACAGGTAAAATATTACCTGTGTTGTTAAATGTTAGTTTCTTGTAATTCAGAGCAACTCAAGCTCACTTCCTTCTGTCCTTCCTCGTTCACCCGTGGAGTAGAAAGGATGTGACTTTATACACCTCCAAAATAATTTAAACTAATGAAACACGGAAATCTATAGGATGATTGAATGAAGCAGGTGACTCTTAACCTCTGGGACTTCGGGTTTTGCAGACAACTCCAGATAACATGCCACTTGGTTACTAGCATTTGAAAATTGGAAATGTCCTCGAAATAAACTTCATTTTTTTTAAAAAATTCAGAGGTAATACATGTAGCAACACCCAGAATAGGAACCTCAAGTATCTTCATGTTACTAAGTGTCCCATTGATTTTGGAAGTAAATTCAGGCAAAGATTTAACACATGTATTGTGAACTGGAGGAGGAGGATGCAAGTACAGTATTTATCAATATAGGCAGTGAGAACTCATTATTAAATGACATCAACATTCGGCCAGTAAACTCCACCTCACTGTAGCTTATAAATATAATTGTGAATTTACTTAATGTTATCATGGGAAATGAATTGAATACAGACAGTTATAACATTAAACTGAATGACAAAATGAAATTTGGGACTTGGTTTTGGAGTCATATATTGGTGAATTCCTATAGAGAGGCCTTTAGAAGATCATGCGCGCGCGTGTGTGTGTGTAGACTTTGCAGTAATCATTCAGTGGTGAAACTAGGCTGCATCTTCAACATCAGTTGTAATTACAGTCATCTTTTCTTTAAAGAAATCTTTTGAAAAAATGCATAGTTGAGCAGTGGCAGCAAATATTTGAAATTAATTTAATATTTAATACTATGAAGAAAGTGCAGTCTGTTGTCTAAATGAGGGACTTATTCTATATTCTGTTACATCTTCTATCCTTTCTGTAAAATAAACTCCATGAATCTGATACTCAATTCAGAATGTTTTGATAATGAACTATTTTCCATTTTTCTTTTATTTTATTTGCTGTCATAAGTTATTAAAGACAAGAAATTCAGGCTCTCTAAGGACTAAGCCAAAAATATATGCTGAGTTTGGCAAAAATGACTCTTTATCCTGAGGCTAAGATTTGGTGATGAAGATGCTATGGTAAAAAAAAAAATGCCTAGCAAATAAATATTGTCTCAGTCTTGTATAAAACGGGACCCAACACAAAGAAATCCTGTATTAAGACCTTTTGACCCCCTGTGGAGATTTTATTCATTCACTTAAGAACTTTCAGCATACAATTCAGTGTTCACATTTTGCTGTACAGTAAGAGTTGTTTTGTTTAATATGATAAAATAACCTTGTAGCCACTTAGGGCTACAGGATCCCCTAATACTATGTTTAGCAGATGTCTACCCTGTGGGCAACAGACTCCCTTTACAGAGTAGAGGCCAGGAAGGAATGGGAAGGGGAGCCAGCAGGAATTTGCCTCCTGGTGTCAGATAAACCCTGCCTCCGATTCTCTTAGGAGGATTGTCTCAATCTTGCTAAAGCAGAAGTCCATTTGGGACTTGGAATCATAGAACTAGGACGTGTTACTTTCCCAGACTTCTCCTTGGACAGATAGAGGAGCCACTGTCCCCAGAGATTAAAGTCAAAATGCTGGTTACTGACTGACCCGAAAGTCCTTTCCCAATGATACATTTTAAAGTAAGTGCTGATTTTAAAATGCATACTTAACATTTTGGTGCAGTAATATTTTCTTTGATAATATTTGCAAAGTTTTCTCCAGCTGCAGAGGTTCCATAAGTGTGCATGTGGTTTCATTTATAACTCATAGCTTTCTTTATTTGCAGTACTGCTTTCCTATCATAAATCTGCCCCAATAGATTGACACCCCTTTATTAAGTTTTGGTCCCACATGTTTGTTTATTTTTGTAAAATGTTCTAAGACATAAGAAATGCCTCGCTTGTTACAGATCTGAGGTTGGGCGTTGTATCGTTACTCTTGCTTTTTTTCAGTGGGATATGGTTAGATAAGTTGGATGTTGTATTCTGAACCCCACGTAATGCAGAGAATGAAGTCTGATGCGGGGACCAGAAAGCCTGTGGTCATGAGAACTTTGAGAGTGTAGATTCGGGAGTTGAAAAAATAAACATTTTGCCTTTCATTTTGATTTTAGTTTTCTCTGAAGTATCAGAAATGGAACTTTTAAATACTGGAGATTATATATATATTCAGTACAAGGATAGATTCATTTTGTTGAATGTATCATTAGTAAACATCAGTTATTACTTCTACCAGCCTAATGCTTTCCTTCTGAAAATGTTTAGGTCAGATAATCCTGAGAGATTCTCATGTGATAGGTGCATTATTACCACCCATCCACACCCCACACCGGGGTGCGCGTGCGCACACATATGTCACCGCCTTCACATTTGAAGGCACTGCGTTATTTTCTATTTCTCACCTGGGGAAAAGTAGCTCCAAGCCCAGGTCCTACATAAACTAAGTAGGAGTTGACATTTTTATTTTCAAGTAGCAAAGGCTATAGAAAATGAATTCAAATGTGAACATTCCATTTAGAAGTAATATTGAGAAAAAGGATTTTTGGGTTTTCATTTTCCTGCCAGCATCAGGGTCTAATATGTGTTAGATTTTTTAAATTATGTATTGGCAAAACAGATTTTTTTAAAAAAAGGAAACTGTGCTGCCCTCCTGGAGCTTAGCATTTAAAATTTAACTCTGCTGATTCCCTGGAACTTAGACATTTAATAAACCTGTGTTCAGTTTATTTTCATTCTGTATTATAAATAACACTGGAGCAACAATTTTAAAAGCCCTGTTTGTTACATATTTTTAACTGCACTTTGTAATTTTTTTCATAACTTTTGCACTGAAGTGACATTTTAAAATATTTTTTGGGAAACACTGATAATCACATTCTCTCAAAGGAACAGGCAGCATCAGTATTCATATATTGTATTTCATGTGAGAGCCTAACCTATGACATTCATTCACATATTTACATATTTATACACTCAGAAATATGTATCGACAGTCTGCTGTATGACAGCAGACTCCTATTTCCAGTGAAATAATAAGGATGACACACCTTAATAGTTGAAGTAATAATAGTTAATTTTGATTTAGTGCTTTAGTATCAAGAGCACTTCTATCACCCTGTTTTATATTTTGCCATTTTCAGTTCGGGAACCTGAGGCATATAATGTTTAAATAAATGCCCATGGTTACATTGCTAGGTGAGGGGCAAGAATTCATACCTGGAGCTTGTGAGCTTAACCAGGATTCCTTCTTGCTCACATACATAGTAAAGGACTATTTTTAAAAAGGCGTTCTCAAATTAATTTGATGTTTTTATAAGATATTTAGATTTCTAGGAAGTATTGATAACTACTTACAGCTTTCCAGTTGTCTTTATTCTCACTATTGAAATTTTTCTTTAACATGTGTTTTTAGATCTTTGATTTTGTTGTTTGTATAATAACTTGCTTTTTAAAAGAACCATCATCTCGTACCCCTAATTTTGAGCATGAGAGGGTGATTCAGCCCACAGGGGCTGACTTCTGGAATGATGTGGTATATTGAGGTTCCAGAAGATTTGAATGTCACAGCTCTGTGGCAGTCACTTCTCCCCCCAATCCTCACATCCATCTTGATCAGTAGGTATAATGGAGCGAATAGCCCTTTGTTTTGAACCCCAAGACCATGTCAGACATTTCATTGGAAACAGTGAGCAGTTCTTGAGTCTATCTGAAAGTA